CATATAAAATCTAAATGTAATCCCTGCCTACACCTTACAAACTAAGGAGAGTGCTATTAAATGTGGAAATGTGAGAGTGCTATTGATAGCGTCTGCTGTCATGGGTCTGTCTCAGTGACGGACTGAGGCTGCTGTTGTCTTCTTCTCTGATCAAAACAGTGTCCCCTTGCGGATACTCAATGAATTGCACCTGATTAAAAATATTAATTCTGTGTCTTTAATGCATTTTTTTCACTTTTGCATTATCCTGCGGGCCTGATTGAATCTACTTGCGGGCCGGTTCCGGCCCGCGGGCCGTATGTTTGACACCGATGCTTTACATAATCATCTCGCGGGCCGGATTAAACTCCTTTGCGGGCCGGATCCGGCCCGCGGGCCGTATGTTTGACACCCCTGGTCTAGGTCGAGCTTGAAAGCTGCGATGGAGTGTTGGGTGAAGTCAATGCTTTTAGATCCAGATTAAAAACCATGCTTTTTCCACATATCTGTGATTAAGATCTTCTAAACATTTTAACTAATTTATTCTTGTAGTTATTTTCAAAACCTAATCTTATTTCTTTACTTTCAAATGTTAAAGTTTTGTGTGTTGAAATTTTGGCAATGTGACTTTTATTTTCTCTGCTGTGTTTCTGAATGCCAATACCAGTTGTGTTTGTAAATGCTTGTAGGTGTTTTATGTCTTCGCTTGTTTGAGTTGCCTTATGGAATGTAAATAAAGCTGGCTCGCCTAAACTAATCAAGTAAATTTTACATGATTTTCATAGGTCATATTTAGCGCTCTCCAAAATTGTTGTTGTTTTTTTTTTTTTTTTTTTTTTTTTAACAGTGTAGTTGTTTCTGCAAGAACACGAAACGACGAAATCATAGTGCCAACATTCACGCACTACAACCGAGCGCAAAGCCCCCTCAACCCAACGATTGATGCGGTAATCACTTGCCCACTTGTCAAAGCAGACTAATGAACAAAATAATAACACAATCTACCTGTATTTCCAGTTTTGTTTTTTGACTTGCCTGACACAGACACAGTGAGTGAGTGCACTTGACTTTGTGAAAGGAGAAGCCCGCCCCCTTACATTCTTGCAGGCACATGATTTTCATTGACAATGACTGTTAATCATATTGATGTGGGCGGGCTGCCGAACACGGAGTGGAAGTAGAAGGAACCGGTGACGGCGGAGGAGGGACTAACCTGATGTGATCCCACGTGGACTGAGCGCTCCTCGAATTCGAGTCAGTCTGTCGAGCCAGTAATCCTCGTACGTGTGCCCGTCAGTTATATTCCCGATTTGTAGCAAGGTCAGACATGGAAGGAAACGGCAGCCAAAACACGTCTGCAAACCCGATCGATCCGCAACACGACCCGGGGTAAGGTTATTCAACACGAACTATATCCTTGTCGCTCATGTAATAGAATATACATGTTTTTAAACAATTGCTGCATTGAGGATAACGGTTTCATATAATTGATGGATGGATAATTGATCAGATCCGCGCTTCTGTAAAACTTTCGCCGCCTTCCTTCCGTGTCCTGTCAACGGTCGGACACCTTTTTGTGAACAGTAGCTATTTGATCAGATTTACCTCGAGTGTTCCTGGCGTACAGTAAGGTCGACTTCATTTTATCTGCTACTTCTTGCTACCAATCTGACTATTGAGGAGCAGTGAAGACATTTTACAAACGTCAAGTTGAACAACGTCAACATGTCATCCGCTTGAGCGAATTGCAATAGAAAACAGATTTGGATTGTGTTTGAGTGGATGTTATGGCCAGAAAGGTGGCAACAGTTTGAATTGTGGTTGTATATTTAGAGGTGACTGGTAACTACTTAACTTGAGCTACACCGAATTAGGTATGTCGTTGTAATTATTTTACAGCACAAATAATAATTACTACGAGGTGGAGATTTTAGTCTGTAAATGTTTGTGGGGAAGTTGGAATGAAGTCTGGATAACAGCTGGCACTCGACTGCTCATCCGTGGCTCTCTCGCTGGCGGCGTTTGCGTTGCTTCTATTTTCGACTACAGTTTTTCACTTCACCTAGTCAACTGCGGAGTCATATTTACTCAGTCATTACGGATGATGGAACACCTGTATTGACTTTTTTTTTCCTCGGTAGGAAAATGTTTATCGGTGGCCTCAGCTGGCAAACTTCACCTGGTAAGGTAATGCTCACAGCCAGGCAGTCCTTCATTTGACCCCTTTATTTAAAATAAGGGCTGGAAACAATAAAATTATAACGCACATTCTGCTTTAAAATATCAAAAAAAAATGCTAACCAATAGTATCTCTTTCCCCCCAGACAGCCTTAAACATTATTTCAATACATTTGGTGAAATCATTGAATGTATGGTCATGAGAGACCCAACAACTAAACGCTCCAGGTAAACACACACACACACACACACACACACACACACACACACACACACACACACACACACACACACACACACAAATCTTGTTTAAAATATATAACCATTATGTGGTTTTATTTCATAATAGGGGCTTTGGCTTCGTCACTTTTGCAGATTCTGCCAGCGTAGATAATGTCTTGGCACAGCCGCGTCATGAGCTCGACTCTAAAATGGTAAGTCCACCTCTTTCATTTACGCTGCATGATACAATGGGTGTTTTTCATCGATGATTTGCAAACATGCACTAAACATGCATCTATGTATCAGGGCCATTAAAAAAAACTTGGAAATAGTTACTTTTTCTTTTTTTTACTTTTTCTCTTGATGTCCATGGGGAGGTAAGAATTTTTAGAGCTGGAGAAACTTTTGTTTTCATTTACAAATTTAAATATTTCAATACAGTGCCATGCCATATGGGTACGCTGTATCAATATAATTGACAGGAGGACATTGGTTTCTGCTGTTTTCATCAGGCTTTGTGATTGAGACCATGAAATGTAACCAACATAAGAAATTCTGCTGTGCATCATCAATATTCTTAAACACAACACAGTTAGACACCACCGGTTCCATATGTCCAATATTTAATTGACCTCAATAACAGATTACCTCTGTGGCAGAGGGTTAACTCTCATTGCAATCATAGAGTATAACAAATGCACCTTTACAGTGCTATTCTATACTGTACATCAGGGGTGCCCAACCTTTTTTGTCCCAAGGGCTACTTTTCAAGGAGTCAGCCTCAGGAGATCGACCAGTCCAGTGTGAACATGCCCCCCC